ACACTCATCCAGCCACTCATCCCCAAGCCTGTAGCGCTGCATGGGGTGGTTGTGCCCAAAGTGCAGGACCTGACACTTGGCCTTGCTGAACCTCATCCCATTCACCTCAGGCCAGCGATCCAGCCTGTCTAAATCCCTCTGAAGGGCCTCCCTGCCCTCAGGCAGACCAACACCACCTCCCAGCTTGGTATCATCTGCAAACTTACTGAGGGTAACAGGGGTGTAAGTGCATAGCTAAGAAAGGTTCAGGAAGCAGTATGCCACTTCCTGAACCAACTGGCACAACTGGCAATGTGGACCAGACATCATGCACACAAATTCTTCCTCTGATCTTAGAGAAAAATTGAAAGCTTCACACTGAAAGCTAAAATCCATTCTACAGGATCTCAGAAGTCATGGATAAAACAGTATCTTATGACACACACATAATTACCTTCTCCTTTCCTTTCCCAATTCTTTCTTCTTCTTCCAGAGCTGGAAGAAACTGCATACCCTCCTGCACAAACAGATATGACCTCTCATTCACACTAAGATCCCTTGTATGACAGGGATCATATTTCTCTTTTCAGATGCTTCACTTGATGTAGGAGTATATGTGTCAGCTAGCTGTGCAGACATGAGCGTCTAAGCTCACACCACAAAGGAGATCAAGTCAGAAAAGTGAGCATTTCACATGTCAAAGTTAGCCACCTATGCTCATTCAACTGAATATCAACCATTGCCTAAATGCAAGCCACTTTATGTTAGTTTTGGGTGGGATTCGGCAAATTTAGGTGGATATTTGGACATTTGTACCTGTCCAGAATTTAGCACAAACAAACAGACAATGCTTCTTCCTCATTTCCTAATCCCTCTTACTCTAGTGTTGAACATCCTGAACTGTTGCCAGCAGGTCAAGGGAAGTGATCTTTCCTCTCTCGTCTCAGCTCTGATGAGGATGCATCTGGAAAATTGCACCCAGTACTGCACCAAGTACAAGAAAGATACAGACTGGCTGGCCGGAGTAAATACAGCACAGGTCCAGGATGACGATGAGGAAATTAGAGTGTCTTTCACAGGATGAGAGGTTGAGAGAGCTGGGAGCCTTGGAGAAGAAAAGACAGTAGATTTTATCAATGCATACAAAAGCCTGAAGGTAGGGAATGAAGACAGGGAGCCATTTTCTTCTCAGTAGTGCTCAATGGTAGAACAAGAGCCAATGGTTACAAATTAAATTCCTTGAAATTTCATCTGAACATAGGAAAAAAAAAAACCTTGTTTTTAACTGCGAAAATGGTAAAAAACTAGAACAGGTTGCTTGGAAAGATTGTAGAATTTTCCTCCTTGGAAGTACTCAAAATTTAATGAGACATGGTGCTGAACAACCTGTTGTAGCTGACTCTGCCTCATTTGGAGGGTTGGACCAGATGTCAATCTCAGTGCAACTTTTCAAACAATCTGAGAACTAAACCTGACAAAATACAAAGTCATATTTCACTCCTGCAAAATTATTCCAATGACAAATAGAAGATATATAAGATGAGAACCTGGGAACTTTTTTTTTTTGTTTGTTTTGTTTTGTTTTGTTTTGTTTTTGTTTTTGTTTTAAGTGGAAAAGAAGGAGAGAGGATGGGCTGATGTATATGTATGTGTCCAGTACAACATTCAAATGGATACTGTTTTCTAAGGTGTTTCGACTGATCTAAGGAAAAAATAGGCAATTTTTTTCTAAGCTTCACTAAAATAAATGATATGCACTGCAGGGAAACACTTCTGTATTCAGCTAATCCAGTTTTAAGTGAAATGGAATTAGGCTGCATCCATCTGACTTTCAAGATATACCTGGACCTCTAATCTGAAGCTCCCTAATTTTATGATAATAAAAGAAACTTATTATAAAAAACAAATCTGGACTATATGTGCCAAGTATGGTATATACCTGGCAAAGTAAACTGCAAGAAACTAAGAGTCATAAACAGTAAGAAGATTAACAATGCAGATTACTTATAAGATATGTAAATATTCAAGATATGTGAATTTGTTCACAATATACTTTTTTTTTTTTTTCTTTTTAAATAAACACTATGTATTTATACAGCATGCTTTACACAACATACCAGCAATGGAAACTACTAGGACCACACTGACATACTGAAAAAATGGAAATTAAGAGGTACTACAGCTTCATCTGGAGAGTAAAAAGTTGACTTGAACAGAGTATTCATATGCTGATTTGAAGTTAGTGACCTAGGAAGATATCTTTTACGTCACAGACAGCCACACACAGCTTCTGTATTCTGATAACACAGAATATGTACTCTAAAATTCCCCATCACCAGGCATATTACAGCAACGCCTACCTGTCATATGCCTACAGTCACACACATGTGCAAACACATACAAAAACAAAAACCACAGAAAACATGAACTCATGATGTTCTTTTACATCCTGACATTTATAGAGAAGAGCATTAGCAAGGATGAATGCAGAAACCTGCAGTGCCACGTCTTGTAACTAAAAGCCAGGTCTCATTTAAGAGCATTCATTGTGTGCTAAAAATATACAAATTGTGAATTTCAATAAACCTAAAATGGGAACATCCTGAGGAGAAAGTGGGAAGCTGAAAACAATTCAGAAATCGTGCAGGCTCAGTTCATTTTAACATTCCAGATAGGCAGAAGTGCAGTGAAAGCTAAATGGCAGCAGCGTCACATACATTCAGTCATATGAGTGTGTAAGTGCTAAAAGGTGTTCTTATGGTGATTCACATTCCTCTTCAGATTACTTAATGTACTTGGAAACATCACTTCTTTATCCGCTTTCTCAAGAGAAACCAAATTATCATCACTAACAGATGAGAAAATGAGACTTCCTATTCACAAAAGTATGACAGATATGCTGTGTAAAAATGACTGAAATTCATAACATGAACTTTTTTCCAAATTGCAGCACTTGTTACTTATCTGCACTTATTATGGCAGAGTGCAGATATCTGCTCATTGCAGAAAAAAAACTTGAGACCGAAAAGAGCATGATGACTTAATTCATCCTGACTGAAGTAATATGAAACTTTAAATATCTTTTTTTAAGCCTTCCTGTGACACATGGAAAGCTCAGTTTATTCCTGAGGGCTTATACCTATGTAGAACATACTGTCAACCTGCAATTAAAAAATGATCATTCACGAAAAAGAATCCTAAGAAAACTGCATTATAGATGTGAATAAAACTGTAAATTAAAAGGCAATTAAAGTAAGAACTGGAATGAAAAAAATGCTTGTTCCATTCTTTCAAAGTCTGTATAACCAAGTATACACTCTTCCTACTACCAGGAAAGAGGGGGTTGAAATGCCTTTCCTTTTCTTTTCCTCTCCTTTCCTTTCCTCCATAACGAACACCTGTTCAAAAGGAAGGGCTATTAAAAGAGCTAGAAGAGTAACAGGAAGGGTAGAGTGTTTGGAGGAAGTCACAGATTCTCAACTGGGTTCAGAGGAATGTGATGGTCTCCAGGAGAGGAATTCTGGTTTGTTAGTTACGCTGTTATCATCTATATTTATGGTGAGACCAAACTGCTGACAGACTACACCATGTACAGCTCCATCACTCACATCAGTCATTTGGAGTACACAAAAATGGTAAAAGACCAAACCACTGAACTATAGCAGCAATATGTGACATATTCACAGACATTCCACTCTGAGTTTATCTAAATTCTAATCAGTAGGTTGTAAAAACAAGGGTAGAATTTGAGTTATTTGTAAGATTGCATCAACCTAATAATCAGAGAATCATAGAATGGTTTGGGTTGGAAGGGACCTTTAAGATCATGTAGTTCCAACCCCCCTGCTATAGGCAGGAACACCTTCCTCTAGACCAGGTTGCTCACAGCCCCATCCAGCCTGGCCTTGAATGCTTCCAGGGAGGGAGCATCCACAGCCTCTCTGGGCAACCTGTTCCAGTGTTGCATCACACAGAATCACAGAATCACAGAATCACCCGGGTTGGAAGGGACCTCAAGGATCATGTAGTTCCAACCCCCCTGCCTAACAGGGCCACCAAACACACACATTCAGATCAGGTTGCCCAGGACCCCGTCCAACCTGGCCTTAAACACGTCCAAGGACGGGGCGTCCACAACCTCCCTGGGCAGCCCGTTCCAGGGCCTAACCACTCTCCTTGTAAAGAAGAATTTCTTTCTAATATCTAGTCTAAATCCACCTTCTTCCAGTTTAAAACCATTTCCCCTTCTCCTGTCACTACATGTTCTTACAAAATCATCTATTTTAGAAGAGGAGGCACTTTCACTGTTTGAAAAGCAAACAGTATTTTGAGTCAATGAATCACAGGTAGAGCTCCTAATTTGTAAGTTTGTAATTTTTTTCAAAAAGCTTATCATCATTTAACAATCTCAAAAAGTTAGTACAATGTGTTTTAGCAGTAAGTGCTTTAATACTAAGAACAGACTCAGAAAGGAAAAAGATAGACCACATCAACTTTATCTGAATGACACAAATAAAGTGATTTCCCACTCCTACTGCCTCCATCACAGTATGAAATGGCTATCTGCATATGTTCTAGGAGGAGAGCAAAACATGAAATCCCACCAGTAAAAAGTTAAAAGTTGCTTTCTGAAATAGATTTGAGGCTTGCTAAAAAAAAGTATAAATACTGGGGTAAATAGAGTATACAAGCAAACAGAAATGTAATGGGTATTTATACCATTTCCACAAAAGCTTCTTTTATAGCTGTGGGTCTATGCCTGAGACAGTGAATTTAATTGCAGGGCTCAGACAACACTGGCAAACTGCAAACACTACCCATTTTGTTGTTTCATATCAGTTGTATGTCAGTTTATCACCAGCCAATCAGTATTTCACACTTTTAAAGACAAACTATTTACTGTTATAATCAAAAACATTCCTTAGTAATTGCAGCTCTTTTTTGAGTCCAAATGTACTGCCCTGATTGTACATATAACACAGTGTTTCAGATGATGCAATTTTTAAAACAGTAAGACTTACCAATCCACTTAAGGCTAAAATCCAGATGTAGGAACCAGAGGTTAAGAGCTAGAAGGTAAGAGTAGCAATTAAAAATTTTCATTTTACATAGCTGATGTTTCCTGAGCTACTACATACGACATTATGTAGGCTAAATACTTATCATGACCATGGGCAAAGTCACACCTTTATTTCTATGAAAATCATGTTTAACATTACCAAGTATACATTCCAAAAGTAGAACTGGAAAAAAAAAAAACACAGGGATAACAATTGTTCTTCTTCTACAGAACAATACATTTTATTTTCATACAGTATACTAAGTATAACAGGATGTCAGTTATAGGCTGCACAGAAAAACAAGTCTGAAAGACAGACTGAAGCAAAGGAAATGACTCAGCAGCAGAAGGAGAAGAGTTCCAAGCTGGGCAGTGCAAATGAAGCTCTTAGGCATACAGCCACAGAGAGCTGAAGCATGAGTGTCAAAATTAAAGAATTAAAGTGCTCACCCAGTGACATACTTGCAGGCATGAAATCACACAAATTGGTCAAAGTGAATTAAAAAAAATCTAGATATGCCAACAGGGTGGCCCACCCTTTCCAGTAAAGTGTGCGCGACTCATCACCTGGAGAAGATTATTCTTAGCTGGGAAAACAGGGTGAAAATTAGACTGATACTGATTACTAAAAGCTCTGTGAGATGCTGCCTGAATTGTGAGAACACCTCTCTGGGCTCACTATGGAAAGAGTGACTTGAGATAAGGGCAGAGTTTGCAAATGAGGAGAAGGCAAATGAGTTTCCTTTGACCTCTGTGTGACGGCAGTGACAGTTCTGCATGCAGGAGGGAAAGATCCTGTGGAGATGCAGCGATGAGTACCTGGTCTTGTATGTGTGAAAGCAAGAGGCAAGGGACACAAGGGAAAAGAGCTCAGACAGTATCACCATTTTCACAAGGACTGGAGTTATAGTGATGTTGATGGCTTTGGGAGAGAGGAAACAATATCTCCAATGGATCGGGAAAACAGGGTGCTGGAGCAGAAATCAACAGAATCCAAATGTTGAACAGCAATGCAGGTGAATGAAACGCTCAAGCAGAGTGGGAACCACAGTTCTGAAACTGACCGCTCATTCTAAAATGCTCTGTACCACATTGTGTAATTATGGTGCTTTCCACTACTAGTTTTAGAACTATTTTTGAGTCCCTGGAATATATAAAAACGAGTACAATTTCTCATAATTTCACACATGCATAATTCAGATTGTGACATTAGAGTCACTTCTAGCCCACTGGGGGCTCACTACCGTATATCTGAACCAGGTACCCATATTTTTCCATTCACGTTTAACACAACACTACTTGAAAGTACTGTGCAACATGTTACACTAAATTATCTGCTACATGGCAATGCTTGGTATAAAAATAACAAATTTATATGAAAGTGTAATACAACCAAATCCTTGGTTATTTATTAACAGTCTTAACCATAGAAAAATACTGTCTTCTATCTACAGTTTTGCTTGAGCAATATCAAACAAGGCAAAAATAAAAACAAAAATGCTAGCAGATTAGAAAGGTGAAAAATACATGTGTGTTTGAACCAGGTCCTGTTTTCATCTGGCTCATTTCACTGAATCCCTCTCAAATTTACAGAACTTTAATATTATGTTTTCCTATGCGTGACAATCAAGACTGAAGACTGTGGAATAGAAGATAATCTCCCCACCACTTCACCCAAAAATATGTATCAGAATATATTGTTCAATATTGTAGTTGATGGGAAAGCACAAGCTAGACACAATCATGCACTAGAAGCATCAAAATCACACATTCAGAAATACTAACTGCTATTAAGTCACTAAAAGATGAACAAGCAAGTACATACCATACCTGTAAACCCAGTATATAGACCAATGTCTTGTTTGTAATAGAAAAAAAGCCTAGTACTTGTGTCACCTGCACTCTTGGAATGGAGCAATAGAACGGTACAAACAGAGCAAACACGGGACCCAAGCTGCAAATAGAAAGATACAGATGGTTAATAAGAATGATGTTAGCAATAACAGTATGTAATTTGTAATGTAACAAAATGTAATTAACCCCATGTACATGATAAACAAAAACATGATAAACACTGCCTCGCAAAAAAGAGTATTACTTGGGAACTGGTGACTTGGTAATCTGTGGCATTCAGGACAACAGATCCAACTACCAAATCATCTACTATTACTATCTACTAAGTAAGCCTGCCCAGAAGAAACAGGTGATGAAAAGCATATTATTTCCAAGTATTCAGGAGAGGGGACAGCAGAGAAGGCAACATTTTAGCTTTAATAGCTGATTGTTTCCACAAAATACAGCCCACAAAAAGAACAGCAGTGGTCTTCCGCATCAGAACAAAATGTATTTGATCTGGACAAAAGGATTATATATATCCCCAGAGATCAGGAAAATCACTTCACATACGAAGTTGAGCTCCCACTATTCACCCAGGTTTAAGGTGTTACAGTATTGAAAACAGGATGCAATAACGCAATATCTAAAATGGGATAATCAACAGTTTGATTTAAGTTCCATTTTGCCAGTGACTCCCGTGGCCCTAGAAACATCTATGATGGAGATGGGAAAAAAAGGTCAGTGAAGGAAAATGCTTTCAGATTTTAATGGGGTGGCCGGACATCTGTAAGCAAGGCATTATCAGCCCTCATTTCAGACTATGAAGAGAAACCTCCCATGGAGCTTAGTGCTTTGCTATAACTAGACACCCTCCATCCCAAAGCACTGTTTGCACAGGTTTGCCAGAATACTGCTCTGCCCAGGCTACTACATCCTAAAAACAAAGATCTTGTCTGGTTGAATTCCCCCCACCCCCTCACATCTGAGCAATCCTGGTATCATTCCCTGGTGCATCTTGCTGCAGTGCAGCAGGGAGCCGCACCATGGGCACTGAGATGCAGCCAACAGCTCGGCTGAGGGGTTCTGCAAAGCACACGTCCACCCCAGCTGGCTCATCACTGCTTCTTCTGACAGATCCGGGATCAAAGCAGAATTTTACATCATTTACCAGCTTATCAAAAGCTCCAAGACTTACAGTTTCCAAAGACCTTTATAGGACAGGGATCTTATTGCTCTCAGTGGGATTTCTGCACACGGCATAAATCAGAATACAAGAACCTCAAGTGTTCACTCAGAAATCATTTCCCTTCCAGAGGAGCTACCAATAGGTGTAATGCTATGTGAAATGATGGTCTGAATATTAAAACTTTCATTTCCTGGATAACTGCCAAATGCAACACCCACAGCTATGAAGAGAACCTAATGATTAAGTACACAGTTAAAATACGTTGACTTGTTTAATGGGCAGTGGCTTAACAATTTTTCATTATCATTTTGATTGCTGTTTTTGAAGTTTAGCTTGCTCAAAACCTTCCTCTCTGAGGACTTAAATGTCTTTTAGATAGACAAAATGCCATTTAGATAGAAGACATTAGAAACATTTTTAGTACCATCTGTTTCAGATAAGGCCAGGTGCATGTGGGTGTATGGAGGACACAAACTCATGAACTACTGAAAGATGTTCAATTTTACAGAGGATCCCTCTTATGTAAACTGAGAGCACCCGTACAAACACACATAGCACATTCTTAAAATACATCCACATTATTTAAGTTGTAGGGATTGACAGACACAACTACACAACTGCCACATAAAAAATAACTCTTCATTGGAACTGCTCCCATTGCCGACAAAATTCACCATAGTAAATTGGGGTTCATAAGCAAAGAGAGAAGAAAAAGAAAGAAAAATAAACTATTCTGCTCTTAGAAAAGCCAGGATAAATTATTTCTGTCTAAAGAATGTGATTCTTTCTATTCTTACCAAATTACCTGAGGGAGTACCAAAATCATGGCATGCTTTTCAGGTTTTATTCTTCTTGTGATAAATAGTGACTCAGATCAAGAAATTTTGCATGCAAGCCTGCACTCAATCATAGCATGGGAAAATACAAAAGGGAAATTCTCATGCTGTTGCAGCTCCCATTCCAAAAGGTCAGGCTGCTTAAGACCAGCGAATGACTAGGGCCATTAGCGACACATACATCAACATGATGGAGAGGCAAATGGCGTTTATTGCAACTACACAGCGGTTTACATACCCTACATGCTTTGTCTACGCCCCTAAAGCATGCGTCATAAATCCATCACAGAGTAGGGGAGGTCCTGACAAGTCACATTCCGATAACCCTGCTTTATGCCTACTACAGCATCATGCCTAGAACTGTATTCTAGAAGAAGATTACAGAATGTTGAAAGGTTCCCTCAATGTTAATATTCACCACTAATGTCAGCAGAAAACATAGAAAGCACCATCTCAGATCGTGGTACTAATCTGAGTAACTCAGCATTTGACACGGCTCTCTACCTAATAATCTTGAGGAGCTTGAAGAAACAACAGATTTTTATAAAACTATTTATTTGTTAGAAAGACTTCTCATCTCCTATAAACAGGTATTACAAATGTATCAGGTATCCCACAAGTGCAGGGGGAGATGGCCAATGTTACTGCCAGTTGTTCTCATTATTACTGAAATGTCATGGTAGTCAGGTCCTAATGACTGGAAAAATGCAAATGCCAACACCATCTTCAAGGAGGGAAGGAAGATGATTCAGGTAGCACCTCACCTCAGTCCCTAGAAAAGTTACAGAGCAGTTTTCTTCACAGCCTTTTTATGGACATGTGAAGGACAAACTGATAGGCCATGTTGATTTACCAAGGTCAACCCATGTCCAGTCAAACTGACTAGTTTCTATGATGAGGTGACTGGCATCATGTACAACAGTCAACACATTGGAACACAAGCTACATTCAGGTACATCTTGACAGAGAAATGGGCTGATAAGAATTTTATGGATTTCAACAAAAGCGACTGTGAAATCTTCCACTAGGGTTGGAATAACCCTGTGCAGCAGTATAAGCTTTCTATTCAGCAAATAGTCACAAAAGAAGCTGGAAAACAATTTTTTTGCCTGTAACTGGATGGTAACTGATGAGTGACTTTCCTGTCCTGCAAGGTTTTCCATCTTACTATCCCCATCATCCTGCTGAGGAAGCAGGAAGAGAGAGCGGCATGGTGGGTACCTGGTGACCAGTCAAAGCTGACCCACCACACTTGCTGCAAATCTAAGGGCTGGTACTTAACTAGTTTCATTGAGTTAATTAATTGTTTAGCAGTATATGGTCAGATTTGGTATCTACTCTTCTGAAGGACTATTTTAGTTCTCTCTGTTCCTTCATTTCCTTCTCCTCTCCTCTTTGCTTTCCTCTTAATGTCTTTTAATCTTCTTTCCCTCCCTCTCCTCTTTACTTTCCTCTTTACTTTCAAAGATCCTGGTCCCAGCCTTTTGCTCCTTACGCTTACAACAATATCAGAAACAACATGGTTAATTAACACCCTGCCAATCAGTTTCTACTAGAAACTCGAGATATTCATGTGCAAAGAAGAAACACAGACTCAAACATACGCAGACTGTTTTTCTGCTCACCTCATGTTTAGGAAATTAGTTTCAGTCACATGGGTTAGAAAATAACATTTTCAAACAGAACAAAATACTCTCAGTCCCAAAAGATTAAATTCTGAAGTCTGAACACTTGACATGTACACAATGTGCACCTCAAAGGCCTACTGTAGGCTCTGGAATGATTATATCCTCATTTTGAAGCATGTTAGATTTCAACATGTGCAGGGGAAAAAAAAAACAAAAAACACAGCAAAACAGAAGGGAACTTTTTCATGGGGGAAAAAAATGAAGAAACAATAACGTTGGAAAGAAAGCACCTGTATCCGTTACTGTACAGACTTCTGACAGAGAACAAAGACTCAAGGATAAGGATTCATCACTGAGTGAAATGGGTTACTCAGAGTTTAAAAGGGTGAATATTAAAAGCAGATTAAAACCTTTCATATTAGTAAGTATATGCACAAAATGTAGGAAACAATAGTTCTAAACCATAAGAAGAGACGGGTAGTAAGAGACACGTTACTTCTGCAAAAATATCTGCTGTTGTCAATGGAAGTTCTGTGGGATTCAAATTTGCAGAAACAACCTGTTATTTTATTCAGAATGACTCACTACATTTACTAACTGCGGTACCGTATTTTTCTTTAGTTCACATTATTTAAGTTCTTTATAAAAACATTAGCCCGACAAACCCACAACCGCTTAGTTTTTTTGGGGGACTGAAAATATCAGCTCTAAAAGCAGCTGCACATAATACGGAGAGAGTACAAACAGTGTGCTTGCTCAGTAACTCAAGTTATCAAGTTTGTTGAGTGCTCTATATTCCTACAGGCTGTCCAGGCACTGCCAAACTATGCATAAAATAGCTGCCTTTGTTCTGAAAATGCTAAACTTTTTCTTGATGACATTTCTTAAAATTGGGTAGCTGCCTGACATATGACAGCCCTTGACAACTGTGATCCTCTCACTGATGAAGCCCAGGATGACAAGCACCATCTATTGCACCCAACCTTTCTGCCACACGTGAGCAAAACCAGTAGGTTACGTTATCCAATGCTGTATCTGATTGCCAATATTTTGTAGGAATGCAGGAAAATGGAGAAAAAAAAAACCCAAACAAGACAGCCAAATGAAAACATTAAGTGAAGTCATGCGTCTTGAGGGGAAAAGAGAGTTTCCAGCTCTCCGTGAATATCCCAACAGAATAACTGCAACTTTGGGTTCACTACAATATGTGACCAATGAACCAACAGAATGCAGATATCTACTGCTCCTATGAAAAGCTTTAAAGGCTTTGAAACAATTTATTCCATAAGCTGCTTGGTTCCATTTTAAACCATTAATGCTTTCTGTTCTCTCCCTTACCATCAGCAAGATGACTAACAAAGAACTTTCCTCTTCTGCTGGTAAGACCCTTTCTTCTAATTTCAGTTTTATTTATCATTAATAAGATGTTACCATTGTCCTTTATCACTTTCCACAAATGTCAGTTAGT